AAGACTTTTGCGAACATTGAGTTAGGAACACCCACCACCGTGTGCATTAATCCATAAATTAAGATAAAAGGAGATTAGTTTTTCTGACAAGTCTAGTAATGTCGTAGTCTGAAAGCTGGCCGACCTGCAACAGAGAGAGAGAATTGCTCTCAAGCTAGAGATTAACGAGACTGATGAACAATTCTGTACAAGTCTTCACGACAATTACGTCGACATTCGTGATATTAAAAACAAAACAGGAAATCCCTCTGGTATTAAATACAAGGTAAATTAATACATGGATGCTTTTGTGCACTTTTGTGGTGACATATACATATATATATATATATATGTGTGTGCATTTGTGTGTAGGTTTTGTGCATTTACATGTGTCACAAGTGTATAATGTTTCTTAACAGAAATATAAAATTTTGTGAGAAAGCATCGATGATGAACATTTCAGGAAAACCTTATTTACAAAATACTTAAAAAATATAATTTACAATCTCTCAAATAAAGCAAATATACGTGCTAAAAAAGAAAATTAATTTGTGACTCGTGCGCATTATGGAACGAATTTCATGCAGCAATAATTACCTTCAACGTTAACTTCTAAATCTTCCAAGCTACCGGCAACGTTACTGACGGTCAGATAGCTTTGCCGTCCCAATCCAGCGCTGCTTAATGCCTGCCCACTTACAGTTACATGACTGTCGCCGCCCACCCTTGTCACTATGGGACAGCCAGGCACGGTTTTCTTGTTAAAGGCAATGTTGATAACGTGCTCACATGCCTCGAACGGTACGAAGCTGACAGAAAACCGTGCATTTCCTTGAGGTGTTACTTGCGTCGGTATGTTTTGACCACGAGCCGATATCGTGATCTCCAGATTTCCTTCACCAGCTTGACTTGCATCGACTGTCGACAAAATGTATTATGTCAATCAAACTCAAGTATTAAAAATATTTATTGTATCTTGAGAATTAAACACTTATTTAATTCTTAACGCTACTACATACCTGTAAAGTGAGTTGGTTGTCCGACACTACCTCTAGCTACAGATCCGATTAGCACTTTATCTGCGTTGAATGCTTTAGCCAAAAACGGCGTACCATTCACGGGATAGCCATTGTATTCCACGCTAATTGAATATACTCCCACTTCCTTCGGTATAAATTCCGCGGTGAAACCGCTGCTTACATTACCAGTGACTTTAACTGGCAATTCACTGTTCGGTCCTATAAGGATAATTGTTTAGAAAATCCATAATTATTCAGCAAGTTACTAGATATAATTATCTGATTACATGGCATTATTATAAATGTATAAATATGTTATTGAAGTCTTCTTAACAATCTTAAAATATATTACATTAAGGGAATATTAAAGATAATTAAAGAAATTATATTTTTTAAATTCCCATTGTATTCACAGTAATAAATACTTGATGCGTAACTTACCCCTTACATAAACCGCTAGTTCTGCGCTGCCGCTTCCGTCGACTCCCATGTGGAAGCTAGCAGGCTGCTCGACCGGAATCAGTTCTAAATGATTCAAACTTAATGTGACTCTACTCGTATCTGACACGTTACAGACGAAGGGACATCCACGTACTGCTTCTCCATTGAACTTAATGTCGATATAATGTGGCTTGGCGACCTCGGGAGTGAAGGACACGAGGCAACGGCCACCGCCTACTACTTGGACATGATTGGGCACCTCTCCCTCATTTATGGAAATCTCTAATTGACCTTCTCCAGCAGCGCTGGCATCCACTGTGTACATATTACAAATTTAAAATACATTTATAAATGTAATCCTAATAAAAAAAAATTCTTAGAATATCTCATAATACTTTTAAAAAAATTTGTGTGTATCATATTTTAAATTTATGAAAATTTTTGAAAAATACTTTAAATTTCTTCTTTCAGATTTTGTAAAATAGAAACGTACATATAAATAAAAATTTACGCATAAAAATTCTAGAAAAAAAAATGTAGATTTTCTTAGAATTTCTAGAAAATGTTCCAATTTGTATAAAAAAATCTGAAAAATTTTCTAAAATCATACAAGAATTCTAAAAAATTCTAAAATTTATATAAAAATTCTGAAAAATTATATGAAAAATTCTAAGAAAAAATTGTCGCCAAGGAAAGTATAACTGATATCTTACCTCTAAATTGACAGGCATGTCCAACTACGGCGCTAGGTACGTCAGTAACTTGAATTAAACTGCTGTTGTACACCTTGGCGACGAGGGGTCCTGCCGGTAGCTTCTGTCCCGCGATGCTGACTTCCACGAGGTGGCTGCCCACTTCGGTCGGCGTGAACTCGACGCGGAACTCGCCGGATCGTCCGGGCTCCTCGTCAATTCTCGCAGGAATGTGCCTCTTCGAAGGTGCTGTAATTTATCCGATATGTCAGACACACCCTTGCGTATTGTTGTTTCGAAATAATTAACAGACTGATTCATTAATTAATAAGTAGACTCACTTATAATCTGAACATCAATCTCGTTGCTGCTAAAACCTAATGCAGACAATTCGAAGAGGGCGGGACTACCAGCAGGAACCAACCTGATGGAATCACCGATAACTGACATCTTCGGTGCAGGCATGATGCCGACTCGCCAAGGTGATCCTGACAATTAACAATTAGTACAGGATCAGTACAACAGTTTGATATAAAAGACATTCCACAAACGTCTATCTTATTAATATTCAAAAGAAAGTAATTACTAAGAAAGTAATTACTGCACATAGTAATTTTACTATAGATCAACCGATAAATAATTATAACTTTTCTTATGTTTATTTCTACCAATGAAAATAATTTTTAATGTTAATTTAACTTACTTTTTATTTTCTTTTAAAAAATTCTAAAGATTACTTAGAAAAAAAATAAAAATTAAATTAAATTGAAATTAAAGTTAATCTACATTGATAGAAATAAACTTTAATCAATTTTTATTTGTATGATCTTGCATAAAAAAATTCTCAAAATATCATATTTTTAAGCATTTGTGTTTGTCATTTTAAAGAACCTCATACACTTTTCAAGAAATTATCGAAATTATTATATTTTTGTCAAATTACTAATTTTTTATATCAACTACGATTACTAATTAATGATCTGGATACAATAATAAAGACTATTGAGAAACTCAGTCTATTTCTTTTAGATTAGGCTATCTCTTTTAGATTTTGCTTTGTTAGAAGATTAGGATCTAAGAAGGTCCGAAAAAAAGACTGGAAGGTTGCAGGGAAGATCTAAAAAAAGTATGAAAAAAATTAGTAGAAAAAAATAGTTTCTTACGTAGAAAGAAAATATGATTTCTGTAAAATATAATTTCAAGCAACTTAGAACTTCGCAACCATAAAAATTGAACTTTTCTGAGGCCATGTCCATTGAGACTTTTGATCATCATTTTGAAAAACAACCACATTAAAAATTTAATTAATTTGACAAAACTGATTTCTTCATAAGTATGCGGAATCCTTTATGAAGATTTCTGAAGAATACTTAAATTTATAAAGATTTATGAAGAATAAATTTTACAAATTTAAATTTCAGATTTCATAAGTTTTCTTTAGAAGTTACAGATTGGATTGTTTCACTTTTAGATAAATTTCAGCTTATCCATTCTCTCGTTCTCTTTTGTTCATTAGATTAAATGACTACATAGTTTATTCGAAAGTGGAAACAATCGGCTCATAGAATGAAAAATGTCACAATAAATTTAAATTTCCCGCCAAATAATTATCCCGGAATATTACATAACGTTCTTTGCAGCTGTCGCCAGGTTTGCTTCTCGCACATGAAGTGAGGTAACTATATAATTAAATATTGAAGAAAAAAAGAGGGAAAATAAACAGTTTAGCTATAAATAACAAACTTAAAGTTTGCACTTTGTCGCCGCACCGTATAATATTTTCTGCACTTAAAATAAGATAAATAACGTAATTAGATGCTGGAGAGGAAAAAGAAGAAGAATAAACGGTGCGAAAGGTTCCATTCCAGCTTGCAAAGAACAGGTTTCTGGAGGCAAGGATTTCGGAATATTTCTCCGTGAGACGAGCGTCGGTCTGTCAATTAATGACTATTTCCACCAAAGTAGATTAACCTTAATTACCTTATTTTTTATATTATTCCAATTTTTAAAACTTAAAGAGAAAGATGAAGACCGAGTTAAACCGACATTAAAGTTAGTAAAAAAATTGACGTCTTCAAAAATTCCAAAATATTTTGCACTTAAAACGAAATAAATATACAGTGTCCCAAATTTCGCGACTCAAAATACCACACAAGATAGTTCTCGAAAAATTAAGTAAAAAAATTATCTGTAAATTTTCATTTTAAACAATAACTTTTAAATAACAAGAGTTTAAATATAATCACAGATAATGGGAGCTTTCCAGCAAGATACAATATTCAACACAGTCGATGCTTTCAAACGACACAACACGACACAAATGTACACAGACAAGAAGCTAATAATTGAGACTTGGGTGTCAAATAATGACTACCAACTTATTTAGAAGAAATACAAAATTTCAGTCAAAATTTGGCAGCATTGTTTAAACAGCTGTACACAGCTCCTGTGTCTAATACTGCATTTAATTCTCCTACAGCATGTTGCAGCAATAATGCAGAGATTTTGTAGCGATATTACTGCAAATTTTATATATTGCTGCATGGGTTTTTTCCTAGCTGGAAAGATCCTAAATGATCACATATTCACGAGTGCGGTAATTTAATGAGCACTGATAAATGCGCACTTCAGCGCGTTTACTAATTTACTCACAGATAACCATTTAAAACATAGTAACTGATCATATTTAAGTCCTTAAAGTCGGAGCACAGATCTTTGCATAAAAAAGTCAATTAATCAAAATCTTTTCCATGGAAAAGAAGAAAATGAAAGACTTTGATTGATTCATTCATTTCTTGTACACTTCATACGTTATGCAAAACTCTGTATTCTCATTCTGACATATCTCAGAAACTACTGCTTGAAATAAAAAAAAAAAGATAATTTTTTTCACTTAATTTTTCGAAAACTTTCTTGCTGTAGTATTTCGAGTGATAAATTTTGGGACATTCTGTATATATTCAGGCGCTGAAGAGAAAGAAAGCGAAGATTTTAAATGTAAAAAAAGTGCAAGCAACACGAACAGTCATCTCGCGTCAACAATTCAGCGGGTTAAAGAAGAATTGGGTACAATTTTTAAGTACATCACGGGCGTCACTTCCCACGCTAATTTTCGCGCGTAAACAACAGTTCTCTCGCCCTGTCGCGGCGAACCGTTACGCGGATTCGCCGATTATAATAACAGTACTCCGATATAGGCCGCCGGTCGGCCGCCACGAATCGAATTCCAGATCCCCCGGAAGTATAACGTGACTCGCGACGGCCAGATGTTTTCCCAGGTTTCCTTCCTGTTACGCGCCGATCGACGGTGCTGTCAGAAAAATCCAACTAAAGTTAATCTACATACATCGGTGGAAATGAACATAAATCGTAAGTCTATTCATGTTGCTTGAAACCCCCAAAAATGTTTACACTTCAAACGAGATAAGTATGAATGCTTTCTTAATAAGGAGACATAAATCTACACGAATTAACACACTCAAGCATTGCAATTTGCGGGGGTGGAAAAAAATCCGATCGCGCGTGTAAATCAGCTCGCTCGCGGATAAAGAATATAAAGATGCGAGACGAGTACACGGCAGCGGGGAACGCGGGGATCGCGAGAACGAGAACCGGTACGACTTCGAAGTTCGGGGGGAGCTGCAACTCTCTCGTGCGCGTCTCGGGGAGACGCGGAAAAACGGGGCCCCGGATCGTGACGTTTCTTCATTGTCCGCAGGAATTTTTCGCTGGAGCGAAAGCGCACGGATGACGGAATTCGCCAATTTACCTTGGCGATACGCGGCACGGGAGAAAACCTGGAAAGACGCTGGAAGAACCTAGATGAAAAAGGAGAGAAAGGGGAAGGAAGAGGAGAATGGACGGGCGGATCCGGGTTGATCTCGTGATCGGGCATACGACTGAAGGAGGAACGCCGACGATGACGACGACGACGGCGATGTTTTGCTGGCGTGGACAACGCTTCCTTCGACGCGAAGAAGAGAGCTCTCGCCGTGGGACGACGAGATGAGTGTCCCTCTGTCTCGAGGCCACGCAGTGCGAGACGACGATCGCGACGTCGCGGCTTCCCGCATCACACACACGCGAAGAGATCTCTCTCCATCTCTCTCTTTCTCTCTCTCTCTCTCTCTCTCTCTTCTTCGGGGCCGAACGATTGGACCCAAACAAGCGAGAACGACACTCGAGGAAAACACTCACGGCGGCCACGAAATGAAACGAAACGAAATGAAACGAAAAGAACGTCGAAGTACCGGAGTAGGTACGTCGGAGAGCGAACGTGGATCACGCGATCCGACGCAGCGCGGCGGACTCGACGGACTCGACCGAGCCGAACGACGGGCGGGGCCCCCCGCCGCTCGGGGCCCGGGCCCAGGGCCGTATGTGATGTGCAGGAGGTAAAACGGGGTATCTTTCAACAAGAGACAGTAGACACACATGACACGGTGTGACGCAGTGCATAAATATCCGCAGTCATTACTAGACCGCAGTCAATACTTAACTGCAGAGTTGGGTAATGCTAAGTTAAAAAGATAAAAGTTAAGTTAAAAAGTTAAAGAGTTAATTAATTTTAATTTAACTTAGTTACATTTTAGACTCTTAACTTTTTAATTTAATTTAGTTACATTTTATCGGTAACTATTAATTTGATTAAAAGTTCACAGTATATCATTATATTTTTTGTTGTTCGTTTATTTTTTGCTCCAATATAAAATAAACAAGGATGAAATGATGTACTGAGTCGCTTCTCAAGAACAAATCATGATATGAAAATGATGTCAAAAGGACTCCAAAATGATCATTGAAAGTCATCTTTCAATCATTCGCGATTCATTTTAATGTTATTTTAACGTTATCGTGATTTGTTGTTCTGCTTGGATTGTTGGGAGGCACTCACAGTGGCTGCGTTAAACAGAGAAAATTAATCGGTTAGTGCTTAGTGATTTTTTTTAATATGATTAGTTTTTACATTTAGATCCAGCAAAGAACTAAAGGCAAAAATCATATTAAAAGGCAATTATCATATTAAAGAATCACTAGGCGCTACTGATTAATTTTCTCTATTGAACGCAGCCATTCTCAGAGGCCAATTTTTGTATTTTGTTCTTATATTTGAGACTAGAAACTCTGTATGAGAGTTTGGCCACGAGATGAACTTTTGATTGGTCCGTCGTTTTTTTAATTAATTTCAGTGAGAATGAGTAAGATAAGTTAGAAGATGACGGGGTGAAAACTATAGTGATGTAAATAACTTAATTATGACTTTGACAAAAATGTAAAAATATATTAGGTATTGGAATTAATTCGTAGCGTTTTTTAATGAAAGAATGTTATTTATTTCACATGAGCATTAAAAAATACATTAATGAAAGTACTTTTAAAACTTATAAATACTTTGTAAAACGCTACGAATTAATTCCAACACCTAATAAAATGTAGAAAACCATTCATATAAAAATTAAAATTATAAAAAATGTAAAAAAATGATATTATGTATACGTATATCACTATAATTCTCACCCCTTCCTATATACCCTTCTTTATCAATCTAATTTTAACAAAATTGCTAATTATGGCTTTGTTATTGGATCTCTAAGTTTTCAGATATCATAAATCAATCACAATAACATCTTAAGATATTACTTAAGACGATCTTTAAAAAAAATTGATTGTGAATGACTGATCGCAATTAAGGGTATGATTAACGTGCTACAAATGCTTTGAAACATTCTTAATCAATTTGTAAAAATTCTTTCTTCTGATTGATCAATCAAAAAATTTAACTTCATAGTATTTGTAATGAGACTTGATCTCATCTTAAGCCATAATATCGTAGGACGTCATCATGACGTCATTCATCATTAGAAATAAACTTATAAGGTCACTTATGAGGTGATAAATAAGATTATGATGAAATATGATGTTATTATGATTTTTATGTTCTATTTGGAGATCGGAGTCGGTTATACTTGACTTGTCGTCGGATTATGACATTTATGACGAAGATATAATTTCCCATTTACTTCACTCTTGTCAAGATATAAATCTGTAGGAGTTTCAACAACCGCATCTTTGGAAAGCATTCTCGAGACCGCCGTTTAAAAATTAATGCGGAAGAAATTTAAGCTTGATATTTATAATTATAGTTCTTGTATTTAAGATTGTTTTCAGTAATGTATTAAGATGCTATGACTATGTGATTTACGACATTTTAAGACTGTATATAAGACAATCTTAAATACAAGAAACCAACTATGAATACCGGTTTAAAACTTTATAAAAATTTCTAAGATATTTGAAAATTTCTTAAGATAACAACGTGGATTCTTTCCGAATTTTATAATTTTTATTATAAACTAATTAAAACATAACAATGTTATAATTTCTCAACAATGTAACTACATATATTATATCGTTGAGTGTGAAATTAAAACTTGATTATGTGTTACTTAATAATAATTAATTGACTATATTACTTTTAATTCATGTTTACTAAGGACTGCCTTACTATTTGAAAATAAATATCGAAGTATTTATAACTCTTTACAATCTCTAAGATAAGATCATTTTAGATACATCTGAGATTGTTCAGAATGTACAATAATTATTATGAAAAATTAATCATGCAGGTTTTCAAGTGACGCAAAAAGAATCTATTTATGTTTCAAACTCGTCTGTTCGATTTTCGTCCTAAATGATTTTTGTCAAGTGAAATTTTTGATCGCGCTTCAAATTCGTGTCTCGGAAGGTCAACGATCGATCGATCGATCGATCGAATTATCTTCACTTTCTCTGGGTGCAATCATCCGTTACTTATTTCCACGCTAATAACGCACGCTTTTTAGAAAACATGAAATTGAACATGCATTCGAAAGTTCACGTACGCGTTCGTTTCCATCATTATAGTCGATTTGCAATCGTAACTGGTGGCTAGGGAGAGAGAGAAGGGTGTCTTAGCCGCGGGGCCCCGAGATGGTGTGGTACATTCGAGACTGCTCTCCCATCCGTTTTTCACTCGCCCGACCGGCTAGCTGCCCGCTACGATCTCGCAGGATACCGATCTTCGTATTTCGATACCTTCACGAGCTGGACATAAATAGAAAACGTCTCTCGCGGTTCTTGAAAATGATGATCACTGCCCCGCCTCCGCCTTCGCCACTTTCAAAAGCCGCATTGATTTTCAGTGCATGCTGCAGGTTTAAGCGATACATGGAGGAAGAGTGATTTTGTTGAAATATTAAAAAATTTCATTAATGTATTTTTTAATGCTCATGTGAAATAAATAACATTCTTTCATTAAAAACGCTACGAATTAATTCCAACACCTAATATATATATAGATCTATAAAAATATTTTATTGGACTAACAAAATAATTAGGATAAGGTTGCCGAGATTAGCACCTCTTTTTTTGGACATTAATCTTTTTGAAATAATGAGAATAAAAAAATATAAAAAGGCTGTTAAACAGCCTTTTATAAGACTTACTTTTATAAAAAGTTGATATGATGAAAATCAACAATAATCAAATAATCTACAAAAATATTAAACGTGATTTAATTGAACCATTGGCATCTTGATGGGATCGTTACTGCTTTGATTGGACCAAAGGTTTAATTAAAAAGCATCGTAGTTAATAGAAAATTGATTTAAAAACAACATTTTATGAATAAGATTATATTTATTTATTATCAAATAAAAATTAATTTTTTTGAACAATTGTCTGTCTCTATTTTTAAAACAATTTCGAACATAAAATAATATCTTTGTATGTAAACTTCTTTAATAAGTTAATATTGATTTAAGTTAATATTATAATCAGTGCATATATTTAAAAAATTTAAAAAATTTTTAATATTTCTAATATAAAATAATATTATTTCGAAAATATACATAAAATAAATTTTTTGCACAGAGACTTCTATAATATGTAATTAAGGTCACAATTTTGAGAACAAAACTTAAAATAATGACTAATCAAATTTTTGCCTTAATTGAACCAGTTCAATTATAGATACTCGGAGATGATTCAATCATAGCAACAAGGTAAATAAAGTCGTATATATTCTCATTAATTTTATAGAAATTTGGCTGCCTTCTTTTTAGGAGCCATAGTCAAAGTGTCGTTCTATCTTTATTCATTGAAGAAGGAATATATAGAACGACGTTTGTATCGATTATGTCTTGAAAAGAAAGCAGCTCTAATTCGATTAAGAATTCCATTGAGATTTTATCTGAGGAACTTTGAAGGCACATTTTTTTTCAGAACGACTTCATTACTTTCACTCGACGTGTCAAATCCAGAAAATAAAAGAATCCCTGTTGAACTATCCCTATTGAAACGTTTAATAATTTAAGATCCAGTATTTGTTGATACGCCTAACGTTATATAATAAAATCTAATTTATTGATAGAATTATATGAGGCTAAAGGAGTATTATAGATCAAATACGCAGGAATGTAAATTTTATATGCGCTCGCAGCACGAAAGCTGTTTCCGACTTTTTATTGATGAATCGGGTTTATCTATAGTGACCGCTTTGTGGCGAACTAGGGCATAACGACAAATAACGGCTGATTATATTTGCGCTATATTTGTCGGATTTAATTATGTAAATGTAAGTACATTGAATACTATAGCCTGACACGATTTGCGAGAACAATCTCAGAGAAAGACAATGGCAGCAACTACGAAGATGATAATTATAATATATGAAATAAGTTTCATATGTAGAATTAATGTAAATAATTGAATAAACTGTTTTATTGTTGCAATAATTATAAAATAATTTATTCAGCTACTTACAACTTATAGGTACATGCTTGTACATTAATTCTACATATAAAACTTGTGTACTTTTACTTTTAAGTTTTCCTCAATATATTAGGTGTTGGAATTAATTCGTAGCGTTTTTTAATGAAAGAATGTTATTTATTTCACATGAGCATTAAAAAATACATTAATGAAAGTACTTCCCATCACTTGTAAAACGCTACGAATTAATTCCAACACCTAATATATAGGTGTCAATATAGATCTTTTTGTAGCCAAACTTGCACACTTTTTGTACTTAAAGTGAAATAGTATATGTTTAAAATTTGATGAAAGCGAGAAGAAAAATTCTAGTTCCGTACAGTAATAAAAAACAAATCTGTTTTTTTCTGAGTGGATAGGATGATGTGCGTGATCAAAACAAGCGAGTTATAATTATATATGAATTCTTCGATAC